GACTCTTCAAGCTTAGGTTCATAAACATGGCCCTCTAACGATTCGTCCACTATACCCTCACGTTCTTCCATAACTAGGGCTCGGTTTGGAAATTTAAAAGAAACATGACCAAAACCCTACAGTTAAAGCATTGCAAGTGGGAGGACGCCCTTGAAACATCAGGACCTTTACCTTTACTTTTCAATACAGGGAAAGCATATGAAGGAAGAGGCCCTAGAGTAGACTGTGGAAGGAATGTACGCAGAAGTGTGTGTGTCACAAAGTGTTCTATACGATGTCCTAGTCACTAACTTGTAATCTTGAATGAAAGAGTAGGCATGGTCAAGATAACCTAAGAAGGTAACTTCATTATCATCCAAGAGATCAGACTCTTCAAGCTTAGGTTCATAAACATGGCCCTCTAACGATTCGTCCACTATACCCTCACGTTCTTCCATAACTAGGGCTCGGTTTGGAAATTTAAAAGAAACATGACCAAAACCCTACAGTTAAAGCATTGCAAGTGGGAGGACGCCCTTGAAACATCAGGACCTTTACCTTTACTTTTCAATACAGGGAAAGCATATGAAGGAAGAGGCCCTAGAGTAGACTGTGGAAGGAATGTACGCAGAAGTGTGTGTGTCACAAAGTGTTCTATACGATGTCCTAGTCACTAACTTGTAATCTTGAATGAAAGAGTAGGCATGGTCAAGATTGGTGAAACACTGAAGGACAAGCTGACGCCTAAAATCATCCCTTAAACCTTACCTAAATCTACTCAAGGTCATGACTTCATCCTCAACGACCTAACATCTCATTCGGAACTCATCAAACTGAGTGACGTACTTGGTCACAGGTCGATTACCTTATGTAAAAGCATTCTATTGATCCAACATATTACCTCTGTAAGATTGGAGCAAGTACTTATCTTGAAGGCGGTGCTTCATTTCATCCCATCTCCTAACAAGGGGAGCACGACGTCTCTTAAGGAGATCTTCAACACTTCTCCAAAAGAGTTGAGCAGTGCCAGTTAATTTTAGATTGGCAAATTAAACCCTTTGATCTATCGAGATCCCATACCAGGCGAAGAAACTATCCATATATCTAACCCATTGAGTAAATATGCTGAGGTCTAGGCAACCATCAAAAGTAGGGGCATCCAACTTAATGCTTCTAAAGAAATGCTCCTCGTTGCGAGGGGGAGGGTAAGTATCGTGATGGTGATGTTCCAGCTCTCGTTCACGAGCTTGATTCCCATCTTTACGATCATGTCTAACATGGTATTAACCACTTTGTGGACGACGATAAGGCCTATTAATGGATGCTTCAAAGTTTTCAGTTTCAGTGGCATATGGGGTTTGCTCCAGGGTCAGGACTTTATTTTCTTCACGAGCAGTAACCACCTCAATTTGGATAGCCGCTAATTGAGTTTGTAATTGTTGTTGGCTAGTGGTAAGTTATGCGAATTGTCTGGTGAAAGCGTCAAATTGGGATGGATCCATGGCCAAGGTATTGGAACTAGAGGGGATAGATTGATCGTTACGCAATTGCATACGAAGCAACACTAGCTAAATGAAGTGCAGTAGAAAGATCAATAAACAACGAGTGCCTCCAAAACTAGCAATCTGAATTTTTTTAATTAAATTTTGGGGTTACCTAAATCCAAATGTGGCAAGCTAAAAATGTTGATGGGAATAAAAAGTAATGGTACAAATGATGAATCAAATTCTCCAATCAAGTGAGATAAGTGGGGAACAATGGGAAGTCAATTCATTCAATGATTCTAATCGAGTGGGGTTTGAGGCTAAAATTATAAAGGTAACAACAACACAAAGAATTAAATGATACACTTTAAAATGAACGTAGTATAAACCAACAATAAATAGAGAACAAGGACTCCCTGTTGTCTAGTTGTCTGAGTTGCTAACGTGTGGATCCCAGGTCGGCTTGTGTCCTATCCTTCGTGTTTGATGTCTTTAGTCCATAAATAATAGTCCAACTAAAAAAAAAACTTAACTAATAGTCCAAATAAAATAACTGGATGTCGGCATCACATTACCTCCTAGGAAAAAGCTAATAGGTTGCAAATGGGTATACAATATCAAACTCCACTCCAACAGCTCAACGTAACGTTATAAAGCCATATTAGTTGCAAAATGATATAACCAAGTTGAAAGCCTAGACTATCAAAAGAGCTTTGTCCCTGTTGCAAAACTTGTGACAGTTCGTCTTCTTCTTGTAGTGGCTTCCACTCGAAAGTGGCATCTTTACCAACTTGATGTCAATAATGCCTTCTTACATGGTGATCTTGATGAAGATGTTTACATTTCATTACCTCCTGGTTTCGGGAGACACGAGTTTGCAAACTCTATAAATTGTCGTGTGGCCTCAAGCAAGCTTCGTGTCAATAGTTTAATTAACTTTGTACTACTCTTAAGCAAGCTAATATAAGCCATCCAAAGCTATCCAAAGCTGATTATTCATTATTCGTCTAATCCTAGAATGGTAAGTTCATTACTATTCTCATTTATGTAGATGATGTCATAATAGTAGGAAACAATCTACAAGATGTTGAAGATACTAAGTCATTCTTGAAGAATCTATTCAAAATGAAGGATCTAGGACATTTGAAGTATTTTCTAGGTATAGAGTTTGCACGATTCAACAAAGGCATTGTCGTTTCACAATGACAATATGCTCTCGAAATTCTTGAAGGGGGTGGATATCTTGGTGCAAAATCGACTTTTTTTCCCATGCAAGAAAATATATACAACTTATCTCTCAGTAAGTTTGAAGGAGACTACATTTGAGATCCATCTTCCTACTAAAGACTTGTTGGTCAATTAATTAATTCGAATATCAAACAGCTCGACTTGGCATATTCAGTACGTGTTTTAAGTCAATTTAAGGACAAGCCACGAGTATCGCATTTAGAAGTAGCTCATCGTGTCTTACAATATGTGAAGCGTATACCAGGACAAGGAATTTTCTTCTCACAAAAAGTTCAACCCAACTGAATGCATTTTGTGATGTATATTGGGCTGGGTGTCTTGACACTCGATGGTCAGCTGCTGGGTATTGCATACTTCTTGCCGTTCATAAATTTCTCGAAAAAATAAGAAGCAGACAATAATATTACAAGCTAAGTATCGATCTATGGCTGCAACATGATGTGTACTTAACTAGTTGAGAACAATTTTACCAGACTTGGGTATCGAATATTCACATCCTATCAATCTACATTGTGACAACCAGGAAGGGCTCCATTATTGCCTCAAACCCAGTCTACCATGAACAAACAAAGCATATAGAAATTGATTGTCACCTCGTATGAGAAAAAGTCCAAGAATGAATGATCAAGATAACTCATTTACGCACATTAGATTAACTAGCAGACATTTTTACAAGTTCTTCACAATTCTCAACTCTTTTAAGCAAGTTAGGAATTATCAACACACATTCCAAACTTAAGGAAGAGTGCTAAGGAATATCGAATTTCATCAGTTTCATAGCTTCTGGGATATCTTTCTTTGGACGATCATCAATTGCCACTGATTTTGTTGACCTCCAAAATGTGCCAACAAATGTCACTCCTAAATAACGTGCACGTGGACAGGTTCCACAAGATTGTGATCGGAAGCTCAGTTGAAAACTCAGTTACTAGCTAAATATACTCGAGAATATAAACGAAATGTGTATGATTGAAGGTGCATTTAGAAAAGAGAATATAGAAAGAGCAAATATTCATAGAGAGGAAAACACAATACCCCATTTTTATGTATGAAAATCCATCCCATCCAAATGTTGCAAAGACAGCTTATTGTGATCAGGCCGATGTTGGATCAAATCCACGTGGCCTCATCCGCTAGACCTGGGTGTCACATCATCCTGGTTTACATTAATTACATTGACAAACACATTTGGTAAGTGGTTAGCCGCCCTACACTCCTAGACTGACATTCCCGATATCTACTTAATGAGAACATCACATCAATCATTCCTAAAGATACACTTATCAAACCTACTCTAAAGAGCCGCGAACCTCGGGTGTGAAGGTTTTCGACAGAAGGGAGAAAAACACTTTAGCTAAATGACGAAAGCACTTAAGTAGTAAGACCTTGGTCAATATTTCTTTCTTTATTCTTGAACAAATGCCACGTATGTCTACACGACGCTTCCACTTGGCCTATTGAAAGCTTCAGATGTGGTCAGTACTCCCGATGTCCCAATTATATAAGCTTGTTTCGTTTTTCACACGGATTAAGAAATCTTCTTTAATGTTATTGAAAAATTAATTTTTGCCAAATTTTTTTCTAATTTACCCCTATTTAATTTTCAGCATATAGTAGTAAATTATTGTTGGAATTAGTAAATAATTTGAATGATTTAATTTGAAGAAGAAGAAATAGAGTTGTTTTATGTTTCCAAGAAGTGAGAAATGTGTGTATTTGGATGATATCAAGAAATTAGCATATTAAATGGGGAAAATTGAATAAGGGTATATTGGTAAAGGAACAAAACAAAATATTCTAAATTAGAAATAGGCCTGTATATTTGGGATGAGAAAAATGAAACTCAACCTATATATTTGAGACGGAGGGAGTAACATATTTGTTTCTTGATTTGTCTACATTTACATTGGAATGTAAATAGGTATTTATAGTATATATACTCAGGATCTAAATGATTCATTGTGCTATAACATACTTCCTTGATGTCAATGGACAGAATACACACAGAAATTCATTTTCACTTTCACTGTACGTTGAAATCAGGGGCGGAGCCATTGGCCATAAAAATTGGAAAACTTGCACTTTGGGGAGGAAAATTGGAAAAAATGTTTGTCTTAATAAAAATTTTTTTTCAAAAATGAACCATCCACGCCACCACCTGTATCTCACCTGTACCAACAAGTGTGGTGTTCATGGGGTTTTCAGAAAATAAATCATCCATGTAAAATTGAGAAACATGTTGCCACAAATTAAAGGAACATGTAGATAAAACAAGAAACTCTGATTCCAAATAATAAAATGAATCGTACATCCATTATGATAAGACTTGTATATATGTATCTTAACAGTTAGTACATAATAAGTGCGTCAAAAGAGTAGATGCAAAAGCTCAATGATGTGAAATATTTACAGGACTATGAATTTGATGTTTTAAGAAAAACAAATAAACCACGTCACACAAGTTTTAGACATGCCAAGACCAGTTCTGCAGCAAGGACGACCACAGGTTCAACGTTCAAGCATTCATCCATCTTAAGTTGCATCAGAAAAGCTTTGATATAACTTGACAGGAAGTCCAGAATGCCGCAGAGGCAGCCCTTAAAATGGCTGGGTTTTGGTAAATCCTGCCCCATGCACAACAATAATCAGTGAGAATGGAACCTTGTAGTAGATGGTAATATACTCTACACTATATTGCAAAGAACAATCGACAAGATTTGGATATCTTTTCCTTTCCTAACATGTTCAGTAGTGTACACACTAGCATATCAAAAATGTCATAAATCATGCAAAGAAACCATGGTTTGAATGGATAGTAACTAGAAGTTTCAGGAGAAATACCAAATTGAGATGGTTTATACTAGAATATTTCATAAACTCCATCAAAAATCAGCATTTCATTCAATTTGATTTTACATTCTCATTATATATTAGCATCTGCAAGAAATATATCAGAGAATGTTCAAATGCAATTTATTGTCCATCATAATTTATCACCTAGAAGAAATTATAATAAATAATGTGCTTCAAAAGGAGGCACGGAGCCAGGAATTGGATCCTGTGGGGGCGGGAAGTCTTAACTAAAGAATTGTCCCTTTTTTCCCCAAAATGTAATAACATAATAATAGTAAAAATGTTAAGTTCTCTAGGATTTTCATACTTTGCTGTTCTTCGTCCACTAACTCTAGAAAATTTATTTATTTTAAAATTTAAGCACAAAAATGAAATTTTATATATGTTCACATTATGTAATCATGTATATGTAAACCTATTGGTATATTGGTATTAAAAAGAAAATATATTGGTGGATCTAAAAGTGACCACCTATCTCCTCACTAATCAACTCTTGCGCAGTTAATTTAAATTTTGGGAGACTCATACCTCAAAAATTAGCTATTGAAATTGGAGAGCCCAAATTTATATAAACCACACACTGAAAGCCCATAGTTTCAATGTAGGATTCAAGTCCCATACATAGCAATAGGAGTTATGGATCTTCCAAAATATATATCTATGGTATCAGAGCAAGCACCACGTCTCCCGGTTACAATGCTGTAGATGATAATGCCGGCATAGCAACATTCGTCCAAGACTAGTCACGTGCTAGTGCAAAGCCACTTCGTGGGCACCAAAATCATGGAACGTGGTAGATTATCATGGTTCCTATTGCAAGGTATGAGATTTGAATCCCACATCGTAAGTATGAGCATTTGATGTGTAATTTATACAAACTTGAACTCTCGAACTTTAATAGCTAACTATTGAGATATGACTCTTTCAGAATCTATGTCAGTTGCCCTCTCTGCCCTACCATAGACATACAACCTATGTATATATCACCGCAACCTCACTCTTCCTATACTCTTTGCAGAGAGAGAGAAGAGAGAGAGACTTTGTGCTGAATTTTTCTATTGGTTATTTTGTACTGTCTTTTATTTAATTTGTTTTAACGACAAAAAGTTTCCAAAATCCAGTTGGGGACACAGTCTACACTGGACCTCCCTCTACCATGACTAGATATGCTACTGATAAAGACGAAATTATTGTAAAGCACTCCATGTTTCTTAATTCCAAGGCAAAAACATCAAATTTAATGAATAATTCCCCCAGATATTGCTTTATGCATTTCTGAGTATCAAAGAGGCAATATTTCAGGCTTATATCGAGTAATTAAGCTCAAGAATTAAAACTAGTGGCACCAGTAGTTTAGTGATGAATGTTCAAGTGCTTCATAAAACAAGCTTCTATTTAGCTTTCTTTCTTTCTTTTTCTTATGATTTTATCATTTCAGCTGCATTTTGAAAATGAAAATACAACCTTTCAACTACTACAGATCAATTCGACCTACAGTGTAATCACTAGTAGTAGGAGAAAATTTGGCTTCGTAAAACCTCAACACACCCCATCAAATCAGTACCAAAAAATTCTGCATGATAGAACTCAAATAAGAACCAACTGGAGAAACACATGCTACTTATTTAAGATAGCCCACTTGATGAAGGTTCAACAATAGAATCAGTAAGAACTCCACCTTAATAATTGATGGTAGTAGACTCTTGGGACAAATTCGTTACACAGTCATAGACGATGCTACATCGTACTCTGACATACTACAATTTGGACTCCATAGAAGCTTCAAGAAACCCTCATTGAATGTATTGACAAAAGTTTCTTTACAAATGGTTGTTTGACTCATTTCAGCATTTCATTTAATTTGATATTACATTCTCATTATATTTTAGCATCTGTGTGAAACACATCTGAGAAAGTTCAGATGCAACATGATGTCCATCATATATTATGACCTAGCAGAAACCATGATTCTGAAGTCCAGAAGGAAGCACTAGGAATGCTACAGATATAGAACAAATTACTGTAATGTGCTTCCATGATTTTTCACATGTCCAGAAGCTAAACAACAAAGCCATTAAATAATTACTCCAAGAGATAGCTTGAAGAATTTATCGGCCAAAAAGGCAAAATTATGTAGAAAATATAAGCCAAAATCAAAACTAAGCTAAAGCCATGTGCATTCACATGCTTCGTTAACCAACTTCTATCTACTGTCATTTCTTTCTTTATTTCTTCATAGGATCATAGTAACTACCATTTCTGATGCTTTTAGACGACACAGCTTTTCAACTACTTGGCTAAACAAGTTCTACCCAATAGCGTGATATGGTATGATCACTCTAATAATAGGAGAAAATTTGGTTCCCTAAAACGTCAACACGCACCACCAATCATTATGGTAGAATTCAACATGATATTATAACCACCCACCAAAAGGAATAAACAAGAGAAGCACATGCTATTTAAGAAAGCTCACCCAATAGCAGTAGCTCCCCAGGATGCTACATTATAAACAACTTTGCTTCCTTCCCATGCCTTCCGAAGCTTTCCCTTCTTTTTTACGGAGAATGTCTTGCTCAGAGCTGAAAAAAATATACATAATGTTATACACCCATCTGTTGAAAAGAACAAACGACGATACAGCTAGTTCAGAGAGAAATCATATTAATTTTTTATTTGATCTCCAAATTTTGTGTACAAGTTGTTCGAATGTAACGGAAAAAGAGGAAAAACAATTTAACTCACCTTCCTGAAGCTGATTTGGAGTGATATCCTGCAAAATATAAGAAAAATTACATTTCAGGGCCAAATGAAAAAAGAAATGTAAAGAATTTTACTTAAATATTTAAACAAGTAATTACCTTTTTTCCATTATTTGTATATCATTAGTTTGCTTATCACATAAGATATGAAAAAAATTAGATGACAGTAAGTAAACATAGTCCCATCTCATTCTTAACCATATCTGAAAAAATGTATAATCTGAGTCACACATCCAAGAAATAAGGCCACTCTACACTCTGAAAGTATAGATTAGCCGATAGCTGAGAAAATTGTATTCGATTCACAAACTGCTTTTATTGAATTTGCAAGCACAAGTACAAATAAGATCCGGAATTATTAATGCGTGAGCAAACCAATATCTTTGCAGCAGAGGTAATAGCTGAGCAGAAACGAAAGCTACATTTATGAATCTCAGATTATATAACAAAAAAGAATTCAAAGAAAATAGTTATAGAAAAAAGAATTGAACCAAAATTTTCTTGCAAAGATTCTATCGAGCACACTTACTGAGAAAATTAGGTGATGCAACAGATACTATTTTTTGGAAGCTCAATTTACTCATTCAGTTATAAATGTTACCAAATCATCCTTTCAAGCACTCGTCTCAAATTCAAGCAACTATCTTATTGACAACAAAAATGTCCCCATTCTAATTCATGAAAAAAATGAACTATTCAAACACTCCATTTCGGTGTTTGCATCACACTTCAATTCAAAATACAACTAAGCATTGTTCGCAAATTTTCAATTACTAATTTTCTCCCCATCCCTAAAATACTCTTCAATTTCAGTTCTTAAATGTCATACCAATTAACTGTGGAATAGAAAGAGTAGTACTTTATTTTACAGGTATAGCCCGTATCTCAATCATTAGTATTTTCAGTATTTTTACATTCCATTTGGGATTGATGAATTTGATTGAATAAAAGTTGGCTTCTATAGCCCCCCCCCCCCCCCCCCCCCCCCCTTTTCTCTTTTTTTCAATTTATTTTGTATATTCTCTAAATAGTATAAAAACGAAATCCAAGTTCACTGATTTCAACAGTCTCACACTAGCATTTATTTGAATACTGGACATGAAACCTACTAAAACTCAAAACAAGATTTCGATGTAATTGTCGCAATTGAATTATGAAAATATCATGAAGAATTGATTCTTGCACAATTGAATCATGGAAATATCATGACGAATTGATTCTAAGACAAGCAACAAGGAGAAACAGTCTCACCTTAGCTTGTTTAAGGGACAGCAGATATCCAGCCATGAAGGATGCTATACCCTCCAATATATCTTCTTGCCTAACTAAAACATATTCTTCTCTGTCCACCTCAACATTTCCACCTTCCCAAAGATCATTTTCACTTATCACGTCCCAGGAACTAATTTCCTCTGCATTATGGAGCATTGCAGAAATAATTACTACTTCTAACCTCGTAGCTTTTCCAAAGGAAGAATACTTTTAAATTAAAGCCAAAATCATATTTGATATTATATCTTCATCATATAAGATATTCAAATTTATAACTCAACTTGAAAAAAGAAAAAGAAAAAAACAATATTGATAACTGAGAAAGTTCCCAGATATATCTCAATTCTATAAGTTTTGAGAGAATTATCGACTTATAAAAAGTAGCACATTAGTGTTTGATCCCACTAGCAGTCCGTGAATCCGTACCTGCCATGGTGTGTGGAAGCAATGTCTGGGCATTCTCTAGTTTCTCAAGGAAATCATCACATTCAATTCTTGATTTCAGGAGATCGGAAAACTGAATACACAAAAGAAATGCAATCATTTAGTAAGTTGGGAGATTATCCATTTTCTAAAAATGAAAAGAAAACAAAAAGTATGTGCTCTTTATTTTCCATTTTTTTTCATTATGGACTTAGCATACCAGGAATTGGATGCTAAATCTCATCAATCTCTATAATACTCGATTCGTAAACCCTATACTCTACACTTGCTACCCAACTATTCACAACTATTAGTACTGTGTTCTCTTCCAATCCATCCGTATTCCATCTACCTTGGAACAGAATTAATAAATTATAAGGTTGAGGACCAAGTTTCCATTCACCAACAAACGAACCCACTAGCAAAAACACAGCATGTTTGTTTCCCCTCATACCAAAGAACATTTATTTGATACCATTAATTTCCAGTTAAAAGTATGGACTTCCGGAAATCTGTTTCATGTAGCTTGGCAAGGAAATTTTTAATCATGGCTACAGGACTATTAAGCCATTCTTGAAATTGGGGCAAACTAATTTTCCTGGTCACCTGCTTCAAAAAAATCAACGCATACTCTTTCAGACAAGCAAATAGCTAAAAAGCAACAAAGAAAAATTACTCTCAAGTCCAATATAATTGAATACTCACGGTATTCGACTACAGCAAATGACCGAAATTCAAACAAGTTCATTAGTTCCCAAAAAACTAGACAAAAAATAAATAAAACAAAGGCTGACCTCAGCGGCCTCGGTATCACAGCACGTCGCCGATGAGCTATCGCCGGAGACCTCGGTACCAGCAAGGTCATCATCGCAGTCTGAGGTGAGCTGCTGGAGGGCCATCTGGCATTGCTCGAGCACCGCCTCCAGGGTTTTCCTCTGGACCCGTACTCGATCCTTTCCCAAATTCTTTCGGGTCGGATTCTCAGCCTTCACCACCACCGCGTCCATGGTCCTAGCAAAGTTGAAAATACGCAGACGTCTCCATACAGTAAATTTAAGGTTGGTATATAAGAAAATTTGATGACTTTTGGGGTCGTTGAAATTACAGCGGGCGTCGTTTCTTTACAAGTTGGGTTACGTGACGGAATTTGCCGAATGCCGCCGTGTGTTCAATTATTGTACGGGTTTTTCAATTATTTCACGGTTTTTCGGGAGAATATATACTTTTTAAAATTCGTATGAACAAAGACTTCTTAAAGAAATTCATTAGTCATTGATTATTCAAAAAACGTCAAATATTTTTCTGTTTTCAACATTATTATTATTCTCATTTCCTATTCCACTCTATTCTTTTGGGTCGTTATCCTATTTTATAATGAAAAATGATCAATTTGTAATTTAAAAAAAAATTGTAAAAATATTACTCTCCACTTTTTCATCTGTATCTCATATTTTCCAACGAAAAAAGATGACTTTAGAGAATTATTGCTTAATTTCGTGTAAATTGATTTTACATCTATTTTCTGCAATTATATTTCGAGCGACAAATTTTTGTTGCTTTTGTTATAATATCATTATTCAGATGCTAGGTTAAATATATTTGTGCTGGGATGCCAAATATTTTATTTCACCGTTTAAATTCGAAGACTACTTATTTAGTTGATTTGTGTTATTGATTGGTACTCCATCCTTATGGATTATATGAATGCTTGATCACTATATAGACAATAAGTTACTTATTTTATTTTCGCGAGGTTTGAAATAGGTTTAGAATATACATAAGCCTCAACAAATGTTAAGAATTGTAAAACCCCAAATTGCATTGATTTGAAATCGGAGGTGTTACTGATATCATTTTATATATTATATTTGATGCAAAAAGATTTAGTTGGAAATTTAAACCTTAATTTATTCGAAATTTCATAATTGAATTAAATCCATTCAAAAACATAAAATCGTGAAATTTAGAACATTAAATAGAAAATTAATTACAATGTAACATGCCTTGGATTCAACGGAGTTGGACAGATACTCTTTCATTTAACCCTCCAACATTCCAGCATCCAAAAAACATTATTAAAGTCAAGAAAGGAATCACAACCTCAGTATGGCTAACGCCATCTACCTCCCCTAGGGGAGCGATGCTTCTTACCTTTCTTATGCTTACTCCCTGATCCATTCTTTTTCTTTTAAAGTGAATCTTTAACTTTTGTCGCCAACATGTTAGACTGAGGGATAGAAGTATCACTATCATCTTCACCTAGAATGGCAAGTGAAATTGGAGTAACTTCCCTTTCTCTAGTTTCAAAAGTCTCATTAGGCACATTCGACTCCACCAGCTGCAAATCAAGATCAGATGACTTATCAATTTCACCATGAGCTACCTTGACAACAACCAGATGCTGATCAAGTTCGCTATGCAATGGTTGCAAATCAACCTTTCCTTGGACCTCCTTACTGATCAAGTTCGCTATGCAATGGTTGCAAATCAACCTTTCCTTGGACCTCCTTAGAATTATCATCCAAAGTATGGATGCCATCTTCTTGGATAAGCATAGCAACACTAAGATCAACGCTACCTGTAGACTTTCTCTAATGTGAGACATGGGTCCATTCGTCTTCGATAGGTGGTTTCTCATAAGCTACACCACTCTGACCAGCCTTATCCTTAGCAATCCTAACCTTGGTAAGCTTATCCTTACTCTCACTAGGCTTAGTATGAGAAAAGCAATTGTGGCCAAATACCCTACATTCCGAACATTTAATGGGGACCCATTCAAACTTAGCACGAATAGTTATCCAATCCCCATTAGCACAATGGAAATCAAAATCCTCCACTAACTCCTCCAAAGCATTAATCTCAACACAAACACGTGCAAAGCCGAGACGTTTACGTGTAAGAGTGATTGTATCTGCCTGTAGACGATGTCCCACTGCATTAGCTACATGACTCAATCCCTCCGTTGTCCAGTACTCAAAAGGAATATTATAAAGCTTCACACAAACAAGAATGCAATGTAGATTCTCCTTGGCCAAAGTCATATTAGGTTTCCAACGCTTCAGAATAAGTGGCCTATTAGCCATATGCCAAGGTGTTCCTTCAAGAACCAAAAGAGCTTGACCGAGAAAATCAAATTTGAAAACGTAGAACCCAACATCTGACAATGGAACCTCCTTAAGGCTAAACCTATCCCACAATTTATGAGCAATGAAATTCACAATAGGAAAAGCTAATTTCTTGCCAACAAAGGGGAGAGAAAAAAAATCAACGCATACTCTTTCAGACAAGCAAATAGCTAAAAAGCAACAAAGAAAAATTACTCTCAAGTCCAATATAATTGAATACTCACGGTATTCGACTACAGCAAATGACCGAAATTCAAACAAGTTCATTAGTTCCCAAAAAACTAGACAAAAAATAAATAAAACAAAGGCTGACCTCAGCGGCCTCGGTATCACAGCACGTCGCCGATGAGCTATCGCCGGAGACCTCGGTACCAGCAAGGTCATCATCGCAGTCTGAGGTGAGCTGCTGGAGGGCCATCTGGCATTGCTCGAGCACCGCCTCCAGGGTTTTCCTCTGGACCCGTACTCGATCCTTTCCCAAATTCTTTCGGGTCGGATTCTCAGCCTTCACCACCACCGCGTCCATGGTCCTAGCAAAGTTGAAAATACGCAGACGTCTCCATACAGTAAATTTAAGGTTGGTATATAAGAAAATTTGATGACTTTTGGGGTCGTTGAAATTACAGCGGGCGTCGTTTCTTTACAAGTTGGGTTACGTGACGGAATTTGCCGAATGCCGCCGTGTGTTCAATTATTGTACGGGTTTTTCAATTATTTCACGGTTTTTCGGGAGAATATATACTTTTTAAAATTCGTATGAACAAAGACTTCTTAAAGAAATTCATTAGTCATTGATTATTCAAAAAACGTCAAATATTTTTCTGTTTTCAACATTATTATTATTCTCATTTCCTATTCCACTCTATTCTTTTGGGTCGTTATCCTATTTTATAATGAAAAATGATCAATTTGTAATTTAAAAAAAAATTGTAAAAATATTACTCTCCACTTTTTCATCTGTATCTCATATTTTCCAACGAAAAAAGATGACTTTAGAGAATTATTGCTTAATTTCGTGTAAATTGATTTTACATCTATTTTCTGCAATTATATTTCGAGCGACAAATTTTTGTTGCTTTTGTTATAATATCATTATTCAGATGCTAGGTTAAATATATTTGTGCTGGGATGCCAAATATTTTATTTCACCGTTTAAATTCGAAGACTACTTATTTAGTTGATTTGTGTTATTGATTGGTACTCCATCCTTATGGATTATATGAATGCTTGATCACTATATAGACAATAAGTTACTTATTTTATTTTCGCGAGGTTTGAAATAGGTTTAGAATATACATAAGCCTCAATAAATGTTAAGAATTGTAAAACCCCAAATTGCATTGATTTGAAATCGGAGGTGTTACTGATATCATTTTATATATTATATTTGATGCAAAAAGATTTAGTTGGAAATTTAAACCTTAATTTATTCGAAATTTCATAATTGAATTAAATCCATTCAAAAACATAAAATCGTGAAATTTAGAACATTAAATAGAAAATTAATTACAATGTAACATGCCTTGGATTCAACGGAGTTGGACAGATACTCTTTCATTTAACCCTCCAACATTCCAGCATCCAAAAAACATTATTAAAGTCAAGAAAGGAATCACAACCTCAGTATGGCTAACGCCATCTACCTCCCCTAGGGGAGCGATGCTTCTTACCTTTCTTATGCTTACTCCCTGATCCATTCTTTTTCTTTTAAAGTGAATCTTTAACTTTTGTCGCCAACATGTTAGACTGAGGGATAGAAGTATCACTATCATCTTCACCTAGAATGGCAAGTGAAATTGGAGTAACTTCCCTTTCTCTAGTTTCAAAAGTCTCATTAGGCACATTCGACTCCACCAGCTGCAAATCAAGATCAGATGACTTATCAATTTCACCATGAGCTACCTTGACAACAACCAGATGCTGATCAAGTTCGCTATGCAATGGTTGCAAATCAACCTTTCCTTGGACCTCCTTAGAATTATCATCCAAAGTATGGATGCCATCTTCTTGGATAAGCATAGCAACACTAAGATCAACGCTACCTGTAGACTTTCTCTAATGTGAGACATGGGTCCATTCGTCTTCGATAGGTGGTTTCTCATAAGCTACACCACTCTGACCAGCCTTATCCTTAGCAATCCTAACCTTGGCAAGCTTATCCTTACTCTCATTAGGCTTAGTATGAGAAGAGCAATTGTGGCCAAATACCCTACATTCCGAACATTTAATGGGGACCCATTCAAACTTAGCACAAATAGTTATCCAATCCCCATTAGCACAACAGAAATCAAAATCCTCCACTAACTCCTCCAAAGCATTAATCTCAACACAAACACGTGCAAAGCCGAGACGTTTACGTGTAAGAGTGATTGTATCTGCCTGTAGACGATGTCCCACTGCATTAGCTACATGACTCAATCCCTCCGTTGTCCAGTACTCAAAAGGAATATTATAAAGCTTCACACAAACAAGAATGCAATGTAGATTCTCCTTGGCCAAAGTCATATTAGGTTTCCAACGCTTCAGAATAAGTGGCCTATTAGCCATATGCCAAGGTGTTCCTTCAAGAACCAAAAGAGCTTGACCGAGAAAATCAAATTTGAAAACGTAGAACCCAACATCTGACAATGGAACCTCCTTAAGGCTAAACCTATCCCACAATTTATGAGCAATGAAATTCACAATAGGAAAAGCTAATTTCTTGCCAACAAAGGGGAGAGAATTTCAAAACATTATCTCAATCCTTTAAAATTTCATTGTAATAAAAATATTAAAACGTCATCTCAATCATTTTAAAATTTCAATGTAATTTAAAAGAGATAAAGTCAAAACATTACCTCAACATCTTTAAAATTTCAAATAAGTAGAAAATATGAATTTTGAAAAGAAAGATAATCAAAATATTATCTAAACCATCTTTAAGATAATAGAAGGATATTACATTTATTTAAATTTCAACAACTTGGACTTAACATGTACGAAAATTAATTAATAAATGGACTGGACTATCATTCTACCTTATGGACTTTAATGTATTGACAAAATCAAGATATTAATCGATTCTATTCTTTTAAATAGGCCAAAGATAGATTAATAAAAATAGGCCCTCTATTTTTTTTTTAAATGGGAAAAATTTTGGGTCTTACAATCTCATTCCCTTAAAATAATTTCGTTCTCGAAATTATCTTATCTAGGTTAAGAGTCTTGGCTACATGTAGGACTGTCAATGGATTGAAATTCTATCCGAATTCAATGTAATGAATAGGAGATGAATTTGAAGTCTCAATCCAATAATTCGATCAAGATTCGAATCTAATGATCCATTAACTAAATGAAGTAAATATAGATATAGTGACCCGGTCCAATTTATTATAATCATATAATATATTTTATATATTTACCGTATAAATTGTTTCACATAATTTTTTTCATTTTGAAATTTGTATTGTATGTCAAACCTATGGTTATTATGGTTATTTCCTTATATTGCAATAAAAACAAAATATGTGTAAAATATTTTGATCAAATTATCGGATCGAATATTTGACAACATAGCAAATCAGATATAGATTTAAGAATCACATATTTATTGGATTATCGGATCAGATCCATGAATTATTGTTGTTGGATCGGATATATCGGATCTGATACATCCATATCCGATCAATTTATAGCCTTAGGTACATGGTCCTGATCTCCTCTACCTTTTTCCAAGTCAACTCTTCAACACCATGATTTTTCCATTGAATTTAACCAAGGCAACTTCTTTATTCCTCAAAGCATGCATTTTTCTTTCAAGTATTTTTGTAGGAGCCTTTTCATAAGACAGTCCCTTTGAACATCCAGCAACTAATTGTTTACTACATGCTCAAGATCATGCACATACTTTTTCAGCACCGAAACATGGAATATGTTGTACACTACTCCCAAATCAGGTGGGAATTCTAAAGGATATGCCATATTTCCATCTTTTTCTAAGTTTGAAAAGGACGTAAAATGGAGGTTTCAACTTTGATATTCTTTTATGATCTGCATAGCCTTTCTATCTATCATGAGCTGGCTTTGTTCTACATCTAATTTTATTAACTACTTGTATGGTTCGTGCAATAAATTCTTGTCCCATAACCTTATTTTCTCTAACTTCATCCCAGTGAACTGGGAATCTACACGTTAAAAAGAGCTTCATAAAGAGCCATGCTAATAATACTTGAAGCTATTATTGTATGTAAGCTCTACCAAAGGTAGGTGTAATTCCCAACTACGGCCTAAATCTAAGGCACATGTCCATAGCAGATTGTCCGCCTAATTGAGGATGATAAGCAATACTAAAATTTAGATTCGTTCCCATAGCCTCTCGTAGGCTTTTCTAAAATCTAGAAGTAAATCTTAAGTAATGCTATTTAGCCCCATTGGAGTTACAATCCCAGTTTAGGTAGCGCTGATATGATATTAATTGATAAGTAGAATTAAATAATCCATTTAATATCACCTTTCATTTAACTTATCATCTAGTATCACCTAGATTGGAGTTGCAACCTCATTAGGGCTACGTAGCATTACTCGTAAATCTTAGTTCTCGATCTAAGATGATGGAGACTAAAACTCCATGCAACCTAACAATTTCTCTAACTTACAAAAGTGCAAATTGTTCCATACTAAAGTTCATTCTTACTGGAAGAAAATATGCTGACTTTGTTAACCTGACCACAAATACCCATATAGAATTGTGACCGTTTGCTGATTTCAGGAACCCAATTACAAAATCATAGCTACTAGTTACCATTCCACTTAGGAATTTTCAATGTATTTAATAGTCTAGATGGGCTCTAATATTTCGCTTTGACTTGTTAGCTGATCATGCACTTATGTACAAAAAGTCCAATACACTATTTCATATTTCTCCACCAGAAAGTATTTTGAAGGTCTCAATACATTTTTGAGTCATCTAACCTGATCATGCACTTATTCACGTTGGCACAATCGAGAAATTTAGGAGTTCGAAACACGTATTCATATTTATTTCAAAAATTTGTTTGATCTAACTAGGTAAGATACATATGCAAGTTGTACATTTCTTTATGCTTTCATGATGTGAACCCGCGTAGTAGCAGAGACTACGAAACCCACAAAAGATTGTCGAACCCAAGAAAGCCAAAATTAATCCCGGGTTGTTGACTTGAACCAAGAACAATGAATCAAGCAACCTCGCAATACAAAGATGTGAAGGACCTCTTAATTACACAATTCATAATGCGCACTCGGTGTTGAACGTCACAAGATTATTCTTGATAAATTTGAATTTTGCTCTAAAGAAGAAAAAGGATTGAAAGCAAGAAAATTGTCTCTTTTTTATTTATCTCAAAATAATGTCAAAGTTGTTACAATGAATATGAAGAAATCTATTTATACGAACCCTAAAAATAGTGTTTAAGGCGGAATATAATTTTAAAGATTACAAAAATATCAATTGGAATGAAATTCTAAAGTAACTAAGAAGTTTCCAAAATTGAAAAATTAGCGTCAAAATTTGCTACCACGCGGTCGCATGGTTTTTCCTTGTGTGGCCACATAGAGCACCTCAACTCTGCTTCTTGACTTACAGAAAGCCACCATACGACCGCATGGTGAATTATACTGTGTGGTCACACAATTCACCGACCACACAGTATAATTCACCGATTTTGGCTCCAACTTCATCCAC